ACTTGATCTAATCCTGGCCGAATGCCTTGCCCCAATCGTGCAAGTTGAGCCTATCTTTGTGTCCATGCTTTCAATTTTGGTCACTCTTACTCCGCTTGCTGTTGGCTCACATTTTCCTCACCAAACAAATTGGAAGGGTTCCGATTCAAAGTTTTCGACAATGGAATATCTGACATTGGCTACGGTGCTGCTCGAAATAGGGGAAAGCATCCATTTTCTATTCACGGCCTCAGCTCATCTGAAGACCAAAGCTGCTTCATGCACAAGCTTTGGCCGTTCGACGTCCTTCCGGATAGCTTCAATTCTCATCTTCGACTGGAACTGGTCGGCAAGATACTTCTTGTGTCAGTCTTACGCTTAACCCACTCCTGACTGTATTGACTTGTTAATCTGTTCATTTCCAGCGAATTATTCGTCTGACGGTTGGCGACCACAACTATCCGCTGGGCAAAACGTGCCCAAAATCATACAATTAAAATATACTACTTACATCTGAGTAGACGAGTAATATTGCAATTTTACGTCTCAGAGACATATAAGCCTCTACTTTATAAATAAAGTAGGCGGCTTAGTAAGGAAAAAGGCATTTGACCATTACAATCTTTTAACAATTGGGCTAATTCGGTCTTTGGCCATTTGGTGATTAGTAAAAGCGTTTAGGAAGAACCCTTGACACGAGCATTCTAGCGTTTTTGTTGAATGCATACAACAGACCTGACGTGATCAAAGCTCCCAGAAGTAGAAAAAATATGCTGAGGAAAAAGGCACCAACTGAAACAAAAGGAAAAGGAAAATTTAATGGACAACTGAGAAGGAAACAGGAGGAGGAAGAGGAGGAGGAGGAGGAAGAGGAGAAGGAGGAGCAGGAGTAGGAGCAGGAGCAGGAGAAGGGGGAGCAGGAGAAGGAGGAGGAGGAGGAGGAGAAGAAGGAGAAGGAATAAGAGAAGGAGAATGAGAAGAAAAATAACAAGAAAGAAAAGGAGGAGGACAAGCAGAAGCAGAAGGAGAAGGAGAAGGAGAAGGAGAAGGATGATGATAATGATGATGATGATGATGATGCGGAGGAGGAGGAGATGGAGGAGGAGATGAAGGAGGAGGAGAAGGAGAAGTAGGAGGAGGAGAAGAAGGAGAAGGAAAAATAGAAGTAAAAGGAGAAGAAAAAGAAGAAGAAATAAATGAGGAGGAGGAGGAGAAGGAGAAGTAGCAGGAGGAGAAGTAGGAGGAGGAGAAGAAGGAGAAGG